TGAACTCGGAATCTCCTGATTTCTTTTCATCTCAAACACATTAACACAAGAATTAAAGTTCTTTATAGAGCTGGAGAACAGAGAGCTGGTAGATTTTGGAGTCTAATACAGAGAATATCTAAACTACGAGGGGCTGCGAGACACACTGTCTGTTGCAGCCATCTTACCCAGCAACACCTGCACTCGCCATCTGTGAACATGAAGCAAACATCTGTCTGACTCATTTTTTTTGTTAAAACATTGCTGTTTGTTATGTTTAGATACTGAGGGCGTGTTCTCATCAGCTATGTAGGCGTCAGTATTATGGATGGATTATGAGACACTGGAACATCCCACAGATCTAACGAGAGTTTGTGTCTCTTTCAGTTTGTTTTGCTCTCTGTGGTCGTTTTGCACATTTATTTTGTTGTATTCTGTCTTTGTGGATGTTTTTCATCTCATTTTAATTATTTTGCATCTACTGATAGTTCTGGACACTTGTTTTGTGAGTGCTGCTGCTGCTGACCGCCACTTCACACAGAGGCCCTGGTCCAGGGGCCCTGACAGTGTGCCCTGTGGGGCCGTTCAGTGAAGGCCAGTTCATGCATTCCACATACTGTTGTACAGATGGGGGAGCATATGAGTTCAGTTTCATACTTCCTGTCCGCGTACGCCCACGTTCTGGTACACACGCTGTCAGGACTTTTTGTCGAGTTGACAGTTCACACACATTTTTTTGGCTGAACCCAGACGCCCGCGCAGCGTCTAGGGAGACCTGAGATGATGATGAAGTTTACATCAGTGGACCGTAGCAGAGGTGTGGAAAGTATGAACTGGCCCTAATCCATCTATGGTTAGTACAGATGTTTAAACAGCTACAAAGAACAAGCAGTAGGCGTCTGTGTCCCTGAGTCTCTGCTGGATGGTCTGTACATTGTGCAGCTAAACATTTAAAGCCTTCACCTCCATGGCTGAGCATTTTGTTTGATTGTTTGTTGCATGAAAAGCTGCTGCAGCTGTTGGCCTCTCCCAGTTTATTTGGTGTGTAACACTACCTCCTTTCTCCATAGGAACATTATGTAGTGTGCAGCAGTGATCATAAGCATTTTGCACTGGTTGATATAGAATATGAGGCTCATCAAAGCCCACACATTCTCAAGCTGGTTTTGTTTTATAAAGGGAAATTTGCACGAGGGATGTATGTGCACAGTATTATGAAGCTATGTTTTTGGTGTAGCTTTTCCTGGCTTTGCACACACACACACACACACACACACACACACTTTGGCACGGATCCTGCACACTGCTATGTAAATTAGGGACCTGAACTGGAAATAGGTTGGATGCTGGCCCTTGCCGCTCCTCTCACTTTGTTGGTGAAGGATTGAAAGCCCTTCCTCCCACTAACTAAAGCACCTCAATGACTTTACGAAGTCGGAGTGCACGTGTTGTTACTGTGTCCCCTCCTGTTGTGTCTAATCAGCCACTCACAGGTTCCCAGCGCAGCTGTGACCTAGACCTGCTGCAGGGGAACTCGGCCTGGTGCTGATGCCACCCGTGTTCTCATGGTGCCCCAACCAATCACTTCACCCGTAGACAGCGTGATGAGACAAAACGTAAATCAGGGGACTCAGGTTTGAGCTTTTGGCCCCCACCTTCACTCCGGAGAGAAAACAGAATGCCAGAGAGCGAGGCCTGTCCAGACCTGTGGAATCACTCACGCTCTTGTCAACAATGGGAAAACAAATTGAGAAAACTACAGATTAGACTGCCTGGTGAAAAGACCAGCAGACACAACAAAGTTGTCATCACAGCTGCGACATACTACTGATAATGAGTTGCAAGAAAACAGCAGCTTCATGTGTAAAAGCCTGGTTTCCACCTGTGTCCACAAAGACTTGTCAAAACAGTAGGACAGCATGACTTCTCATTACTCTGAATTAAACTGTTTAAAAGTATTATATGTGTGCACAAGCACAGAATGTCAAAGCATGCTAACTGATCTTTATGCCAGGATCAGTTCATGTGAAGTTTTTGCCTATTGAGATGATGATTGTGCCAGATTAGGTCAGCGGCTGCTTGAACATGAAATGATGCCCTCATCACTGTCATCTGAGTCCTGAAGAAGTGAAATTACCCACTCATTTGTAATTCAATTCCATTTTATCTGTATAGCAACAAATCACAGCAAAGATCATCCCAGGGCACTTTACATAGTAAGGTCTAGACTGCACTACTACTGCTGCCCATCAAACCACCATCTATACCACTTATCCTGACGAGGGTCGCGGGGCGGCTGGAGCCAATCCCAGCTGATTTTGGGCAAGAGGCAGGGTCCACCCTGGAAAGGTCGCCAGCCTATCAGAGGGCTACTACTACTATTGTTATTGAAAAAAACAGTGGGGAAGAAAACCTCCCTTTAATAGAAGACACCTCCGACAGACCCCGGCTCTTGGTGGGCGGCCTTCTGCCTCGAGCGGTTGGAGTGACACACGACAAGAGGCACTGTGTGTGGAGTCATTCAAGTTACTGGTTACCACCATACCCAGGAACTTGAAGTGGGACAGGAACATGGCCTCTAACATCAAGAGAGCACAGCAGAGGATGATCTTTCTGTGGCAGCTCAAGAAATACAATCCGCCACAGGCCCTGATGATCTGGTTCTACACAGTGATCATCGAGTCCATCCTCACCTCATCAGTCATCATCTGGTTTGAGTCCACCTCACAGGAATCGGCCAAATTCCACTGCATAGTCATAACAGTGTAAGGGATCAGTGGCTGTAGTAGAACTACAGCAGCAGGGTCACAAAGCCCACTGGAAAGATTGTTGCTGATTCATCTCATGCCACCTCTTCCATCTACTCCCATCTGGAGGAAGATTCACTGCCACTGAGACCAGCAAAAGAAGACATGCAACAGCTTCCTTTACAGAGCTTTAGCACATATTAACTGCAGCACTCCCTCTGCACCTTAAGCAAAAACCACACACTAGAACCACACATATCAAGATCTTTTATTGTAGCCCTTTTTATTTATTCTAATATATCTTTGCAAAATATTATAACAGTCAATATAACTTAGTAATATATTGTTAATAACCATAGAGGAACCGATAAGTATCCTCAAACTTTGCTCATGGGTCTACCCAAAACACACCCCAAACTCTTGGCCTCTCCACCGGCTTTTAGATCCACTCTTTTAGCTTATTACATGTATTGTAGTTTCACTTTTACTGATATTTTACTTTGTCTTAAATACTTCTAAGTCATAGGCTATATGTAATACCATCTTGGTTGTCGTTTACTCCCGGCAACCGCGTGTGGCATCCACTCTGTTACCGCGAGAATCCACACTGCACATTTTTGTTATTCTGATTCTTAGTGGCTCCGGCATTTTACAGCGTCCTTATCAACCGGATATTATTTAGACTGTCCTGGTGACAGCGAGGTTACTGTCTACTGTGCCCCCTGATGAAGATCAAATACACATTCGCCTCAAATTAGCCTAGTGATTTTAGATATCAATCATTTAACATGGGATGGATTTTGTATCAATATTTTAGGATTGATCCACACATCACTACTGCGGAGGTGACCTCCTGACAGCAAGGAAAGGTTTTTGTCATTGTTGTTTTAGGAAACAACATGAAATAGTTGAAGAGAACAGGGTGTGCAGCTGTTCAACAACACATGGTGCACAATGTCCCTCTGGTACATGGGCAGTCAGCGCGCTCGCAGTGTGGACGGCTGACTCAGGGTTCAGGCTGCACCTGGATGTCCGCACAGGGTCAGCGCAGACCCTCAGGGAGTTTGGCAGATGACAAAATTTGACACGGAAAATATGAAAAGCCCTTAAATACTTTTCACAGTAAGCATCTCCAACAAACCTCCTCTGTGGTGGACTGGTGTCTGGTGCTTCAGGAACATACCACAAATGGTTTAATACCTTTAGGGTAAACACTTGCATCTTCTCTGGAACTTTAAGGCTCTTCTCAGTAGCGACATTCTTCCCAGTGACTGCTTATTTTAGCCTCTTGTTCTGATAAATGACTTCTTTTTACTGTGTACCTGTAAACAGGACATTCCTGCATGCTTAAAGCAGCCTACTCTGTGGAATTAAAGTTTAAGTGTTTGCTCCAGGAAGTGGGAAGATGATGCAATGGAACAGAGAATGTTTATAGGAGGCTGTAATAAAACCACAAATCTTAGCATGAGATAATAACGAGTTGTATCAAAGTGAGTCCAGAAAGGACTAAAACAGCCACATAGCAGGTGACTCTGGTCTCTGGAGGACAGCTCTTTTCACGGTGATGCCGACAGACCAGTCATTACCGTGTCCTGCCCCGCAGACAGTGACTTTTGTGTTTTTGTCTTTCTCCTCCCCAGAGATCGGACTTGGCTGCACTGAGGCCAAACCACAACACTCTGCTGTCACCTTGCATGCATGGAGAGGAGAAGGCGTCAGGCTCGGCTGCACAGGCACGTCTGCTTCCAGAAGTTGCTGAGCGGACAAAAACGTGCATAGCGATGGTAGTAGTTTGTCCTGGGCTAACTGTGGTGACAGGTCAGCTCCTGTGCGCGTGTAAAACTGCCATTTTCCTAATTACAACACAAGTGACATTGGTCTTAATGATTCATGAGGAAATGGCGTGCACGTGGGCGAAGGGGATAGGATGCACTTGTAGCTCCAGAAAAGTGTAGATGGAGTTAAACCTAATTCTTCATGCAGTCAGGTGTTACTAGACTCTCTCTGCTCCAAAGTCTGCACAAGAACAGCGACCTGGTTGGTGTTGGGGCTGTGGGGGTTACTTGGAGCAGCAGGACAGTGGAGTAAGTCAGCACTGCAGATTACTTTAAAATGCACAAGCATCAACCTTTGTGGAAAACAGTGTCAAATCAAACCGGGTCACTCTGAGCCAAAACTTCAGATAGTTTCTAAAACAGCTGTTGAGGAAAGTTTTCTCCTTTGAGCATCCAGCAACAAGTACAACTGGGCAAAAAATAGCTAACTCGAACTCACCGGTGCCACTTTGGACCTGCCGGATCCCCGCACTGGGAGACAAAGCGTGCTCGGGAAGCATTGCAGCGCAAAGACGCAGCAGCACACGACCAGAGAAGTCCGCATCGTCACCGCCGTAGAGCCGCAGTGGTGCGCAGGCAGGATGGGTTTGGCGCAGCTGTGCCGGGAATCACACGGCTGCGGGGTCCGGGGCCACCTCTCTTTAAATGGACTGATTTCTTTGTTCTCTGTTTTTTTTCTCCATACACTTTTTTAACGGCCCAGTGCTGATAATACCCCCCCGTACCACGTGACTCTTAACCCTTTCTTTGCCCGTGGACTTAACTCAGATGATGATGGCTTTGTTTTTTTATCTTATACAGTGGAAATAGAATATAATTAAATGTTCCAAATTAAACGACGTGGACAGCGTAGACACAGCATGTACTAGAACCTCCAGTACCTGAATATTATTGGATTAGCCTGTTATGAGAGGAACAACCACCTACAGGAAAGATTGGCCACAAAACACACCATATATTTATATAAAGGCTTTTTATGAGGAAAAAAGGAAATACAGCCAGTGTTAAGAACAACAGTGCTGTAGCAGGAATATGCTGTAGCTGCTATGACATTAGAAATACTGAGGTCCAGTCCAGCCTCCCACCTGACTCTGAAACTTCTGACCATCGTTTTTACTTTCATTCTTTTATTTCTTTTAGACTGCAGATTTTCAAAATAGCATTTTAGATGGGGGTTTACAGTAAATGTCAATACTTTATTCTTAAATTTATCTCAACTCACCATATTTGGAAAATCATTTATTTTGTTTGATAAGGTCACATCACACAGGCTGGACTGGGAAATAATGACTGAAATAAAAAATTACTGGACTTGGCCCGTAGGATATTCACCCCAAGCCATCACCACATCTAAAACTCCCACATAACTGAATTTAATTTAATTACCACAAATGACAGGGCTACACGGTGTGTGGTCGCCATGCGTCTCTTTCAGTCTCTTACATGTCCGTGCCCCAGGGCCCTTCTGTCATAATCCATCCATTGGTGGAAGGTGGAACAGAGCCAGGCTAGCTGTTTCCAGTCTGCTAAGCTAGGCTAACCATTCTGGCTGTGTACTTTATGCTAAGATGACTCTAGTTATTCTGCTCTTCTTCAGAAACAAATATTTCCCCAACTGTTCCAGTAAATATGAATACAAAGACATGATGACAACTGAAACCAAAGGGCGCACACTGGATGTGAACAGTTGATTTTATGAGAAGCAGAGTATGTGATAAAGACAAATCAAATCAAATCAAATTTTATTTGTATAGCGCCAAATCACAACAAAAGTCATCTCAGGACACTTTACAAAGTAAGGTCTAGACCTTACTGTTATCAATATTATTACATAGGGAAAACCCAACAAATCCCCCTTGAGCAAGCACTTGGCGACAGTGGGGAGGAAAAACTCCCTTTAACGGAAGAAACCTCCGACAGACCCCGGCTCTTGGTGGGCGGCCTTCTGCCTCGACCGGTTGGGGTGAGTGGATAGAGGAGAGACAAAAGAAGAAAAGCAACAAGACACAACAATCAAACACTGATCAGGTCGATGTGGCCGGTGACTGCTCGTCAGAGACATAGAGCTCCAGGGCCAGGGCAACCTGCAGAAAGGTACAGGGAGAGAGAGAGAGGACACACTACGGGAGAAAGGAGACACAAAGTTAGTAATGTGTAATAGTGGCAAGCTAGTGGCAGAGGTGCATGCGCAGACAACTGGAGTTATGACCTGGTCTGAACAGCCAGATTTTAAATCAT